ATCACCTGTAGCTTGATGAAATTGAAAAATTTGATCATAACAAACTGAACAATCCATAAGTGAAAATAGGTTATTTGAGACACAGCTGCCATGAATTATGCAAGCCATATGAGGATCTATCTTAGTAATCCAAGTGGCTCTACATTTTTTTATAATTACATGTAGTATTGCCCCCTTGGGTCTTAGGTGAAACTACTACTACTGAATTCAATTTCTCTACTGACAGACAATTCCTTGTATGTAGTGCCTGAGCTAAACTTTCTAGTCCTTGTAGCTCATCACTCAATACTATCAATTCCTTGTATGAATTGTATGAGCTAAACTTTCTAGTCCTTGTAGCTCATCACTCAATACTATCAACTCCTCGTATGTAGTGTATGAGCTGAACTTTCTAGTCCTTGTAGCTCATCACTCAATACTATCTAGGAGGACACCGTGAGTCACATTATATCATTATAAAAATATAAGGGAGAAAACATTTTCTCCCAACTTAATCAATATGACTCAAAATTATCATATTATTAGTAAGTTAATTCATTAAGATCTCTTATTGTTATATAAGTCACTCATTTGACAATTATAAACATTTAACCCACCATGATGTATCTCTTTCCCGACTCTATCTCAAATATCCCTTAGCTCAATGATTTTTTATTTTTTTTTACAAAATAATTTCATTTAGAACATTTTATTTAGAGGGATCATCAAGATCTCTCTTTGTTGCCAATCAGGGGCACAGACATTATCCCCCAAGTAATAACTTAAGCAAGAATCTCTACGTGCGCACTATCACCCGGCAGGGTTGACAGTGCTGAGTCGTTAACATAGTGCTCTATTGGCAACAGCATTCACTATTACTCTAGCAATACTTATTGGGTTGAGAATTCCACCCTGAAATGTTCTCATATAACCCATATAAGGATGTAAAGTCCATTTCAACATAACTCTAGATTGCTAGGAAGACCGGAAGGTCAACATTCCGGAAGGAACGCTAAGTCTAGCAGCCTCGCTAAAGTTCGCCTGGAAAGACTGAACCCGCTACTGAGGACATCAAAAATAAAGTTATGAAGAGAAAAACTCAAATCTGGTTTTTATGCTGAGAGCACTTTTAATTATAATATAAGAAAACCGAGGGCGGAAGCCCAAAGGTTTTTGTGAACGAACATAAGAAAAGGAAGAGAGAGAGTCATAGCATTCACACTAGCACGTGAATAATTGGGACAAAGAAAACTGTAGACAGTCTACATATATATGTATATGTAATATTCAGAAATTTCAGTATAATTTCAAACGCCGCGCCATTGGCGATACTGAGTTTTCAAGGTCGACTGAGCTAGGAGCGCTCCTACACGTAGTTAGAGGTTTTGGAACTAGGCCTATACGATATTAAATGTAGTGTACCGAATTAATAATGATGTGATTCATGAAGTTAAGGGACTATTATTGAATTTGAAATTATTATAGATCGTTTATCAGTCTGAATAATGTTACGGGTGTCCCAAGAAAGTTATTAGTAGGCGGAAAATATGTAACGTTGGCCTAAGCTAACGCCTTGAGAGGATACGAGGCTGGCTGGCTCTCAGTCAGACGACAGCGGTCGAACAGAGAGGACAGACTGTGCGTCAAAGAGGACGAAACGGTCACGTGGTCTAGTCACCTGTGTTGCGCTATTGCAGTATAACAAGTAAGTCTCATTCGATCTCAGACAGGGTTGAGATAGGGCAGTGATAAAGTTAACGAGCTAACAGTGAGTTCATTTCAGGGTTTCCGTCAGAACCCACTTGACTGCGAGAGATTGACTGCCGTTTGAGACTGCGTTGATGATTGATGATTAGCGATTGTCGCAGTTGGAACGATCAGTGCAGGCTTGTTACTGGTCATCCGGGTTAGCCAGAGATCTCCGAAGTGAAACCAGCTGTCTGGGTGCACAACTGACGATTGTCTGGGGTCGCCAGATCTCTTCTACCTCGGCTCGCAATATCACATATCTTCAAGCAGTTAGTGAAAACCTTTTACTACGAGAAGCTAAAGCTTCTCTCCACTGAACAAGGGCTGATTGGCTCACTGTCTTCTCGCCCATGGATGCACTGAGAGTACACTGAGGCTGTCTGAGTAAATTAATGGTCACACACTGAGACCAGGAGTCTAGGGGATACCTAGAGAAACATTTTATCTCCCTTATTATGGGTGTATGTTGAGTTGGGTGAAGCATGATTCACGGGTATTGGTGGACCCAGTAACTTCTTAATAATAGTGATAATATTTTTGTGTGTAGTTAATATTTCTTAAATAATTTTGATAATATTGTTTTAATGCTTGTGTCACTAATTGAAACCAGAGAATGAGGGAACTGTTTTTCAGATAGGTTTTCTCCCTTCTGTGTAAGTGATACTGTGATTTAGTTCCTTTAATGCATTTAATATTTCTTTATAATTTCAATCTCAGGTATAACCTTTATTCCCCAGAGTAGTGTTTGAGTTAGGTTAGGAGGTGTGCATTTGTTGGGGTAATATTATTTTGTTGAGTGCCCTTAAGGCCTATTCATGGTGGGTTTAATATTTTCTTATTTTATTACCATTTTCTCAGTGGTTGATGTTATTTTGTTGAAAGCCCTTAAGGCCTGTTTCATGTGTGCAAGCAACAATTCTTAATACTACTTTGAATTTATTGCTGTCTAATGAGGCATTGTCTGAGTTTCTAATAATTTCAATATCATGTATAACTTTTATTCCCCAGAGTAGTGTTTTAAGTTCAGGTTAAGAGGTGCGCATATGTTGGTGTCCCATTATTTGATTGTGTCTGTAGTGATGGAGGGAATATAAGTGTCTAAATTTGACAGTGCGTCTCATTCATCTCAGTCACAGATGCTATCCTTCCACGGGTCACGGAGAATTCATTTTGCTAGTAAATTTAAGTGTTCTTGTGCTGGTTCGGGTTTTTTCTCAAAGGGGCACTTCCACTGCAATTTCCATCTAATAATTAATAAACCTTAAGTCATGTGAGAAATTTAATTTCCAGTAATGCCGACCGGTTACATGTATATAAGTAGATATATTCACATATTCTCTTTCAGTGAAGACGAGCCCGGGAGGGCGCAGCGACATTCACTGAATGACTTAAAGGCAAGGGATAGTCACATCGATCTAAACGACTTCACAAAGAAGACGTGTTGTTGTCGCCATGACTGAACAGAGATCGTATAAGAAATTGTCCCAATTACAATAATTGAGAGACATAACAAAATAAGTCACTCTACTTCATCACTGTGCTAATAAGTACAAATACCGTATATAAAATCCTCGCGGAGCTTAGTATTTCAGCAATTATAACACAAATTCGCAGAGCTCTCCATTGTGTTTACTTATGGCTCTACCGCCAGGCGAGAGATGAAGGTGGCAGTCCGTGCGATGGAGGGGTGAAGGAGGGGGTTTCGACAATTGCAATTAAATGCCAGGTAGCGACGTGTCCTCCTAATATTTCTTATTAAGTAATTATTAGATGTTTCAATTGCCTGTATGTTGGCCTGGCGAGTTATTACTAGGCATTAACATACCTAGGTTAAAGCTAAGCGTCGCATTCTGGGATTGAACAAAAATATTATTTTTACTCTGATAAGAAGTAAAGGATCAGGTGAGAAAAATCAACAGCTTGAACAATTTGTGTAACCAATTGCTGTATAAAGTTACCTACCGTTTATTTCAGTAACCATGTTGTAATATAGCTACAATACTACCAGTACAGTAGAATGTCAATATAACACGAGATACGTTCCAAGAGAGGTCGCTTTAAACCGAATTCGCACTAAATCGAAGTGTTGTATCAATGGAATAATTTAGTTTGGTACTTGAGAGAAACACAAAATACTAAAAAGACTGACAGTCTACCCAGATGCACCTCAGCCCATCTCCTAGAATAAACAAAACATTGTTTTTTGTAGTACAGTACTGTATTATGTTAAAACAAACACTCGTAAAGCAACACATCTAAAATTAAGGGATGCGAAATGGTCTGTTTACTGGCTGGGAAGATGGAGGAGGGAGGGAGGTGAGGTGATATTTTTGACAGTTGATGCTAAGGTCTAGTGCTTATTTATTTATCTGTCCTTAAGAGTGACTTTAAGTTTTCTCTTCTGAAATGTCGCTGAACTGACCTGGGAGAATATAATTAACATTGCTGGAATTCTTATAAGATAGTGATTAGTTTGAATATATACAAGTACATGCTATAGTTCGCATTAGACATACAAATTTTAATTTTAATTAATTACAAAGAGCTAAATTATTTTATCTCTTGTGCAAAATATATGACATTTATATTCAAATTATTCTCTGTCTTGCAAGGCTTCTAGCAATGCAAATTATATTCTCCTAACTTTAGGGGTGACAGTGAAGCGTTTTGACAGTTGGGGGCTGAAGGTCTAGTGAAGTATTTACCGTATTTGTTTATTTATGTCCATTAGATTGATTTTTTTTTTTATAAAATGTCACGGAAGTGACCTGGGAGAACATAATTTACATTGCTGGAATTCTTATAAGACAGTGATTAATTTGAATATAATCATGCTATAGTTTGCACTAGACAAAAATTTTAAAAATCATTTAGTACAATATTTTAAGCACATGTACAGTACAGCTTTGGCCTTAGGATAGTGTAGCATGCCCAGAGAAACATTAGGCGCGAATTTTAAAATATGATTCGCCAGATTGACTCGAGGAAAATAGCAAAGATTCGCTTTAAATTAAAACATTGTCCTTATTTGTGGGTGTCGCTGTAAATCAATAATTTGAAATTGAATCGCTTTAAATCGACGTTTTACTGTATACAGTTTATTTGCATGAATTTTGTTTTAAGGAAAATGACAAATGCCTTTTTTTAAAGTTTTGAGTTGCCTGTTTTTTAGTATTTTTCTTATTTGTCTGCCCATTTTCTTTTAGATTATGAGCACCCAAACATCTGGGTTTTACTAATAATTCTAATATACACAAATTTGTTTTATTTAGGTAAAGATGCCATTGGAAGTGGCCATATGTGTCATCAAGATCATTTTCTTGTAAGTAGAAATCCAAGTTGATTACTGTAAGTTGTAAGTGAACTAAAAGATATTCAGAGTGTCCATCCCCTTTCTTATTTAATTAATGGAAATTTCTGTGCTGTACTTGTATGAAGTCATGTCATTATTATGAAAAATTTTGTATGTTGTACTTATATTAATTCTATGAAATATTAATTCTATGACATATTGTCAGGGTCATTGTGACAGCAGAGTTATATGAAAGCAATTGAAATGTAAAGTTACACCAGTATATAAACTTAGTAACCTGAAAGACGTCACGTTTTACCTCACTTGGCTTACAATATACAGGAGTAACAGCTTTTTCCACTGAAATTTATTGTTCTTTGAGCATTGTGCTAAGTTTTCTTGGTAAACTGCATCATGATGGTGTTAATTACCAGTTAGTGTTGCAAGAGTTGTAGTGAACTTCCTGGTTAATGTGTTGTTGGTGTTATGGGAGTCTTAAGTTATGTTCTAGGAACTACAGTACTTCTCTCGTCTCTGTTTTTGACATTTCAGCAGAATGGTTTTGATTATTATGAATTAATGTTCTGTTAATGTTCCAGGTCAGCGATGGTGTTTATCTCACTCGTCACAAAATATTACTACAACCAAGATATAGAAGATATCACACACAAAATGAAGGATGAGACTCAGCTAAAGATATATATAAGGTCCTGCCAGCTAAAGACAAACATCTCAAAGAAGAAGGTTGATTATTTGACAAAGCAGTTCCTAGCAGTGGAAGAAATGTATTGTGAATTAAGGAGGGAGCTTGAGAAAAAACTTTCAGGGGCTACAAGTATGTAAAGTATATTTAAGTAATTTAAAATATTTTTATGACTTGTGGATCACTAATGAGTAACCCTTGGTTTTACAGGATACTGAAGCCTCATTAGAGAGAGTAACTCTTCATAATGAGAGAATTAATGTCAGCAAGCATTATTTTTCAGTTTACTTAATTGCTATAAAAAACTGATTCATCGAGATACATCTGGGGTACAATAAAGGGAACAGGTGATGTAGTGATTGCCTCTAACAGCTGATGAATCATTGGGTCGAGTCAAAATTTTCAGTGGATAGAAGAGTATGCATATTCTCTCTCAATCTGCCATTTGTAAGCTTGTTCCTTTACACCCATGTTGTTTATTAACCCCTTCACTATTGGAACTCCAATTTTAGTTCAATATTTTATTTGGTTAACACTAGATAATTTTATTGAGTTCAGAGGCCTCACCGTACACAAGGGTTTAGTGTCTAATTTCACCTCTAAAATCACACTCTTTGTTATTTTACTTATAAGATGTGCTTGGTGAAACACTTGTGTTTTATTATGCTCATCATGCATGAGCTGGGGTAATATTAAAGCAAATACAGTGGTCCCTCGGTTAACGAGCACAATCCGTTCCAGCAGGTTGCTCGTTAACCGAAAATCTCGTTAACCGAAACCATTGTTTCAATGGGTTTTTGGGTAATTAGTTCCAGCTCACCGAAAATTGCCTAAATTCAACAAAAAAGGTAGAAATTTACACTTACTTTGAGGTGTATATGTAGAAGGCTCCTGGATGATGATGTGAATTTGAAGTGGGAGGTGGAGGAGGAGAAAGGAGAAGAGAAGGAAGTGGAGGTGGAGGAGAAGCATTTTACTGCTTCTTGGAAGGTGAGTCACCTTCCATGAAAATACGAGGAACCTCTGGACTGACAGATTCTCCACCATGAACATCCTCTCTCCTTCTTGAAGTGGAAGGCTGAGGGCTAGCATCATCCTCTTTCCTTCTTGAAGTGGAAGGCTGAGGGATAGCATCTTGTTCCCTCTGCCTTTTACTGAAGAAAGTGTCAATTGTGGTCTGTGGGGCATCTCTCCTCCTCACCATTAACTTATGTTTAAAGAAGGAGACCATTGTGTCCTCAACATGACACAAAGTTAGTTCAGATTTTTCCACATCTAGGTGCTTTGAAGCCAGTTCCCTGAGCTTCTCCCAGTGGTAAATCACATCTTTCAACTCTTTAGTTGACATATGGTCATCACTTTCCATTTCCTCCTCACCATTGTCAGCCTCTAACATCTCATCCAGTTGCTTCAAGTCATCAGGAGTAAGTTCCTCCTCATGAGACATCACAAGCTCTTCGACATCATCCTCATCCACTTCAAGGCCCAATGACTGACCAATGGATGCAATCTCCTGGTCCAACTCTGTGTCATCCTGAAATCCCTCAAAATCATGGACTACTGATGGCCACAGTGCTTTCCATGAAGAATTGAGGGATCTAGTGGAGACTTCTTGCCATGATGACAATCAATTTTACAGCCTCCAGGATGTTGAATTGTGTCTTCCAGAACTGTTTCAGTGTTAGTTCAGGATCATTGGAAGTTGCCTGATGACACCTCCTAAACATTTTCTTCATGTACAACTTCTTGAAGTTGCTGATCACATTCTGGTCCATTGACTGTATGATTGATGTAGTGTTGGGAGGCAAAAACAGCACTTTCACAAAGTCAAATTGATACTCCAAAGTTCTGGCAAGTTCAGTGTCATGACCAGGAGCATTATTCATGAGGAGAAGAGCCTTTAAAGGGAGTTTATTGGTGGTTAGGTAGCTCTTGACAGAAGGGCAAAACACCTCAACAGCCCATTCATTAATGAGCTGTCTTGTCACCCATGCCTTACGGTTGGACTTCCAATAAACTCCAAGCTTTGCTCTTACCACTTTCTGTTGCTTGAACACCTGGGGTTTTCAGAGTGGTAGACAAGCATAGGCTTCAGTCGGAAATCCCCTGAAGCATTGACACCAAGCAATAGAGTGAGACGGTCGTTCATGGGTTTATGCCCAGGTAAAGAGGCTTCATCTCTGGTGATGAATGTTCTTTTGGACATCTTTTTCTAGAACAGCCCAGTTTCGTCCACATTGAACACTTGCTGCGGAAGATAATTTACTTCTTCCATCAGTTCTTTAAATTCCACTGAAAACTTTGCTGCCCCTTCCTTATTAGCACTAGCAGCCTCACCATGCCCAATAACACTGAAAATGTCACTTCTTTTCTTAAATTTTTCGAACCAGCCTTTGCTGGCCCGAAAATCTTCAAATTATGTGCCTGAAGAACCAGGTTGATCTGTCTTTAATGTTCGTAAATCTCCCTGGCTCTTTCACAAATGAATTCAGTAGAAACTGAATCACCTTTCATCTGTTTTTCCCTAATCCAGATGAGAAGTAACCTCTCAGTTTCTGCAATTAGGGCTCTACCTTTAAGCACTGGTATATTTGTCTCTCACTTTCACTTCTTTAAATTTGTCTTTCTCTGCAAGAATTGTCAAACAGTTGATGTCGACATGCCATATTCTTTGCTTAGCGCATTTGTTCTAATGCCTTCTTCATGTTTCTTAATAATTTCTTGCTTGGTTTGGATTGAAATCTCTTTTCATGATCTCTTAGGGCCCCATGCTGGATTTAAACAATGTCAACACGTGATCTTTTAAGTTTAAAGTAGCTGTAAATAAAGAATATTTTCTTTAAAATAACACTGCACTGCGCTATATATTGTCAATATGTAAAATAAATTTCAAAATTACTAATAATTTGCTTGGAAACATTTACTCTCCCCAATGTGCTGTGCAAAATCTTGCCAATATTTCTCCCTTGCCTCCTTCCTAGCCTGCCCACATATTTTGGCTATATCCATGAAGATTTCCCTATCTTCTTCTCTTGTACCATTCTTTACCCAATCTTTATGTGCTGCCCTTAACATTTGTGTCCATCCCTTCAACATTTTGTCATTGGTATAGCAGTGTTTCCTAGCCCCATGTCTCTTATCATTTATTTTTTTCTGTGTTGACTTAGTTAAATATCTTTCTATCTCCCCAACTAAGTCATTATAAAAGCTATCCATACAGACTGGTGTATAATTTCTGTACCATTTCTCTATATTTTGGGTAAACACTTCTGTGTCATCCTTGTTTAGTTTCAATTTCTTCCTCCTATATCTCACCTGTCTCTTCCCTAATGGTAATTGAACATACACAACAAAATGGTCACTGACTAGCTCCCTTATTATCTCACATTCTCCCTGGACTCCCTGACTGCTTATCATGCAAGCATAGTCTAACCTTCCTCCTTTAATATGAGTCACTTCCTTATTTCCTAACAAGTAAGCATCTGGGTGATCTTGTAAAAATTGCCAAAATTTTATACCATTACTATTAATTCTCCCCATTGTTTCGAGTCTTGGATGTCGAGCATTAAAATCGCCTACAGCCAAAGTAGAGTTCAAAAACATGCAATCTGGTAAGAAGTTGAGGTCAAAACAGCCTCCAGAAATATACAAATTTGCTATGTTCAATTCTCCTTCCTTCAAATATAACTTTATACAGACACTTTCTATTCCTTGTACTCTACTCGGGCTTCCAACTAGTTCTGCTGGTATGGAATTCTTAATGTATGTTGAGACCCCTCTTATACCTTCACCCAAATAGAGATGAAATCCATTATATCCAGACAGTTTAAGCAGGTCGCCTTTCCTGTCCCCAGTCTCTTGAAGGGTAATTATGTCAATATTATTTTTAAGGGTAAAGTAATGTACATCTGTCACTCTATTTTGTAGACCATTAACATTCCAGGACATTATCTTAAGGCTAGCTAGATCCAGGATTAATATTTACACATTTTATATCCTTTCCAATCAGATTCTTTAAGAAGGCCCAATCCTCCTGCACAGATTCCCATTTCCTCAAAAGTTTTTCTTTATCAGCATCTTTACACTTTACCAACACCTTTTTAAAACTTTCAGTTGTTGCTCCCTGCACTACACAATCCTTTATTTTCCTCTCCTTCCCTTTAATACTTATTTTAAGCACTGAATTTTTCAAAGGCTTGAGCTCTTCACTTTCCTCTTTCCCTTTTAATTCTACATTATTCACAGCTTTGTTTTCCCTTTCTTTATTTATCACTGTATCAAGTCTTTTCTCTATCACTTCTATTTTCCGACCTAACTTTTGCAAAAGCTGAAACATCTTAAGCACCTCTTCTCCCAGAATTTCTTGCACAGTTTTATCACTAACCTGGAGTGCTGCACCACTACTCTCACTTGCTACTTGTTTATTACTCTGTTTGTTCCTGGCATCAACAACGCTTCCGGCCGCAAGCGCAGTCCTTATCCTTCTTGAATCTTCATGCCAGGCATTCTCAGGGATCACTGTCTCCACTGTCTGTGTGTTCTCCTGCTGTCTTGTCACTGTCAAACCACAGCGTACTTCTTCAGTGTTCTCTGAATAATTCCTTTGTTGGTCACTTCTCATACGTGGCCTCATCTCGCATGCAATTGAACTAGCATTGTGAGTTTTACCACAATTACAACAACAAGGCTTCACTTTCTCTCCTGCTTTGATCTTGTCCTTACAGTTGCTAGATTCGTGCCTCTTCCCACAGAATCTACAACGTGGGTCCAGTTGACAGCTCCAGGCCTTATGTCCCCATCTGCAACACTTGAGACACATTATTGGTCCCTCCACATATAGTGCCACCTTCCTATACCCTGCTCCTGTGATGAACACTTTCTCTGGAACCTTTCCTCTCATTAGAGCAATAACCTGGCTTCTCTCTTCGCCCCTTATTAAATGCCTCTTGACCCAAACAAATCTTTCGTCATCCAATAAGTATTCTGGATCTAGTATTACAGGGTACCTGAAGATTATTACCTTTGTAAGTAGTATGTTGTTCTCCTCTGGCAAAACCATCAGTAATCCCTTGTACCCAACAGTTGTCAACATTTCCACAGCCTCCATGGTCCCCACTGTAAGATAAGGCTTGTGTGTGCCTTCTTTCAAAAGAGGCTCAAAGCTG